AAAAAAAACAACAATAAAAAATTCTCAGAATTAAGCAAAAATAAGTTATATAAAATGGCCTCTATTTTTTTTTAACGAAGTATTTAAATTCTTTACACTAAGAAGCAATCATTCAAAGCTAAAGTCAAATAGAAGCAAAAGAGCTATGAAGAATCCGTGGTCATTAGAATCCAAAGCCTTTATGGATAACTACTCATAGTCCTGGTCCAACTCCTCACTCAGCTCCAAAACCTACTGAAGGAGACCAGTCTGCAGAACACCACCATGTGGCCCTGCGGCCGACCTTCACTGGAGGCCACTCGCCGGAGACTTTATCTTGCACCAGTGCTGTCTTTTCCTCACCAAGCAAGAAACTAAAGGGGAGAAAAATGACGTTAGCTATGCCACTCCGTCAGGAGATGTTCGGCTCATAAATAAAATCGTAATTGGAACTTATTTTGTAGGCTGCCTCCTGAAAATAAACACCCCATTACTTTTTCATTATTGCTTTCTTTGTCAAGGGACAAGAAATCTAAGTAAAAATCAAACAACCCCCCAAAATACTCATCACCTGATTCACCCAACTTTTTCATTTTACATTTTTACTTTTATTTTTAATACAAATAAACTTCCACTATTATTTGGCAATTAAGAATTTAATTTAACCCTTTCAGAATCCTCACATGAAACTCACCAAATTTTACAGCCCAAATGCATTATTTCTTTAACTGCATATAATTTTAAAAACCAAAATTATGAATTCGCATTTTGTGGTGAAAAAGTAACGAAATTACTACCACCAAGATATTATACACACACACACACACACACACACACACACGGCGGGTAGGTTTTCTAAAAGCACTCCTTTCCACAGAGTTGAAAACTTAGTATTATAATACCTAGCTGGAAAAAAAATGCCTTTCAATGTCTCATATTTGAAAGATGTGGGCTCAAGCTTCAAATGACCGTCAACATCGACTGTAGATGAAAAATTAGCCAGACCAAGTGTAAACACCTCTATTATATTTTGTCATGAATCATCAAAAAAATAATAAATTGGGATCAACTTGGCTGGGCCATGCTTCTCGGTGATTAAAGAGCTGTGTGCTGATGTAAAGGGATGCTGGCAGGATGCAAAACCCTTAATACAAGTCACAGCTGTGATGTGAGGGAAGGGGAGTCTCTCGCATCACCTTTTAACCTGCAGGAGAAAAGGAGAGAGAAGCAAGTGGAGAGAGCAGAGGGACCTCCACACCAAGAAGGAAGAGTCAGGAGCAGAGCGCATCCTTTGGACCTCGAGGCCTGGCGCTAAGAATCTCCTAGCCCCGGGAAACGACCGATGCCACGCTACACAAGGAGCGCCAA